TGTTTTTAACATTGATACCCCAATGTTTTCTTTTGCCAAAAGTTACTCCAAAATTTCTTCATTTTTAACTTTGATACCTTTTTTTTTGTGTCCAAAAGAAACGTTAAAGTTCCACAAAATTTAACTTGATACCTCAAACTTATAGAAAGAAAGTTTAACTTCGATAGCCCAAACATTAACAAAATTTTAATAAAAGAATTTAAGCTTGGGATGTTAAAAGTAAGTTTTGGTGAACTTTAGGATAATTTATTAAGGGAAAAAACTTTAGTGTATCTAAGATTAATTTTGTTAAACGTTGTTTGGGCAAAAGAAAAAAGTTTAGGATATCGAAGTGAAATATAAGGTAAAATTTTGGGGCATTTTAACGTAAATGACCCTATCTTTGTACTCCATTGTGAATGTACAAGTGAAGGGTAAATTTCACAAGAGAGGCTATCTTTGTACTCCATTGTGAATGTACAAGTGAAGGGTAAATTTCACAAGAGAGGTTTTATTAACATAATAAGCAATGAAGTGAATTTAAAATGTACAAGTGAAGGGTAAATTTCACAAGAGAGGTTTTATTAACATAATAAGCAATGAAGTGAATTTAAGGGTCGGGTTTTGTGAAAATTTCCCTTCTCAAGCCATCAGTTTAAAAACCCTATGAACCCATCATGCTGTTTTCTCTCAAGTGACAGTCGTGTCAGCTTTTGAATGAAAACTGGTCTTGGAATGAATTCTAACTTAGTGACACTTCATCATTTGCAACACTTATTTTTTGTCCTTTTGCTGTTGCATCCAAACACCGTAAAAGGTGAAAACTGACCCTGCATTCTAACACATTTATTTTACTTTCCTAAGAAAAAACCACAACCAAACATACCCTATATCTAAATAACCCTATTATTTTTGTTGAAATATATCATCAACTAGTTATATATGTAAACGTTTTGTTACATATAAATTTTTTTCTAAATAGTTAAGTAATTTTAACCCTAACATAAAGTATAATATTTTTAATTAGTATATTGTCTCTAAATATTGTATGACTAATATCGAGATTCATGCAGTTTAAAAGGAACAATTCAAGTAGGAGTCAAGGAAGAAGGGGATGAAGACACTGAAGATGACTAATAGAATATATTTTTAGATTTTCAGAGTTTTTAAAATTCTCAGATTTTCAGATATTTAGATTGAATGTTTGACTTTGCGATGGACGTGTGAAGTTCTAGATGTTTCTCAGACTTAATGCCTAAAATTCGTAATTATTATTTTAAGTTATAGATAATTTGCTTGGGTGATATATAATTTATTAATTTTACCTTATATTTGAGATGTGGAGATTGAATGAATTCTCTTATCATTGGATCAATAATTTCTTTTGTATTTTGAATGAGGAGGCAATCATACTCCCTTTAAAAATACGAGTTAAGGAAAATCTTTCTATGGTCAATATTACTCTTATTTTTTTTAAATATTATATTGTTATCCTAATCTATTCTAATTTTTCTATCTTCTTTGAATTTATAATTAAATGATTTATCTTATCCATAATGAGACTTAACATGTCATTAGATAAAGGTGATATATTTGATATAATTCAAATCTTTTACTTATTTTAATTTGCAGAGAAATTCAAAAAACATATGCTAGCCAGCACCTAAAAGTTTTTTAACCTTGTAAAAAATACCCTCAAGATAAAACTCTAAAAATTTATAAAACTCTAAACTTTTTATAAAATTTACCTTTATAAGTAAATTTCCCTAATTGTTATTATGATATTTCATTATAAGAGTTATTATATATAAGTTTATAAATTAATAATATAATAATATTTATAAATAAAATTATTATTTATAATATTATACAAACATAGAAGTTAATATAATGTACTAATATGAAAGTGGGAAACCATAAATGAATATCTATTAACCAAACGAATCAAATTTATAATTGGTCAAATCTATTCGTTTATGAAATGAATAATAAAATTTATTCATTTATTATTAAATGGACTATCAAATTGAATTTAATTGAATACTTAGATGAATAATAAACAAATTATAATTTGTTAATTATTTAGTTCATTTCCATCCCTATTCTCAACTACGTAAATTTTTCATTTTTTTTTTTGCTTCGTTTAAAGGATAGTGAAATAAAAAGTTTGTTTTGGAAAGAAAATATAAGTAACTTTATTTTCAGAGAATTAGGCCTGTCCATCCGGGCCGGGCCGGCCCGGCCCGGCCCGAAAATCCGGGCCCGGGCCGGGCAAAACCAGAGCCCGGACCCGGACCCGAGTACCCCGGGCCGGGTCCGGGCCCGGGCCCGGGGCCGGGTCCGGGCCCGGGCCCGGGGCCGGGCCAATATAGAGTAACTTTATTTTCAGGAGAATTGAGGCTGGTCCATCGCGGCGCGGGCGGCCCGGCCCGGCGAAAATCCGGCCGTGGCCGGGATAAAGAGAGCGCCGACCCGGACGAGTACCCGGGCGAAGTCCAGGGCCGGGCCGGCGGGCGGTCCGGGCCGGGCCGGGGCGGGTCGGCTACGTTTTTTTGCATTTATTTTTATGAATTTTTATACAACTTTTTTTAAATTTTAAATGTATAAAAAGGCAAAAAAACATTAATAAAAATAATATTTTATTTAATATTAAATAACATAAATTAAATAAAATTAAAAATACATTCTTTGATTATAAATTAATAAATCAATTTACAAATTATAAGATAAGATTATTTTTGAATCATCGCATCACAATAGATAAGTACATCTTACTAGTTTTTTTTAAATGTGTCTTTTCTTGTTCTTCTCATGCATAAAAATGTTCAAAATTAGTTTAGATATTATTATATTTTGTATATATTATGTTATTAGTATATACTTACAACATTATATGATGTAACTATATATTATAGCTATACATATATTAATATAAAGTATATTGTATATATTTATGAAGGTTATAACTTGAGAGAGGAAGAATCGACATAAGATGCCGTTGACGTTGGGTTGCCAATGGGAAGAAGTAGTAGCGCTGTAATATACTCTACTTATATATCTTATATTACTAAGATAGAGCAGTAAACACACACAGCATATTTATTACATATTATAAGTACGAAGTATTACTTTATTAAGGGGAGATATCATATATACAGAGAGCGAGTACCTACCTCTATATATAGTTTATATAGAAGAGAGTATAGCTTATATAAGAGAGGTATACTTATAATATACATAATTATACTAAGAGAGAGAGAGCGCAGTATCATACCATCGGCATTACATTATACATATATAAGTGAGAGTATTCTTATATTATACTTATATAACGAAGAAAGTATCTTTTATCTATTTATATATATATAATATATACTATATATATATACTTTATATCCTAATTTATATAAGTATCCGTACTACTATATTATACTATATAATATATATAACTTATATATAAGAGAGAAATCACGCTATACTATACTATGTTAAACTAAGAGAGAGTTATATTATACACATATGACATAGTTAATACATATATAAAATATATCTATATATACATATATATATTATTATATATATTTATACTATAGCTATATCATACATATATAATACATATAAAAAATTAAAAAAAATTAAAAAATATAGAAAGTTACTGATTCCGGGCTGGGCCGGGCCGGGCCCGGGCACCAAAGAGCCGGCCCGGGCACTGGCCTGGAGCGCCGGACTGCGCCGGGTTCGGGCAGGGCGGGCCGCACCCGGACCGGGCCGTTTATATTATTATTGTTATTTTGAATTTAGTGGGACCTACAGTTCTTTCTCTCCCAAATTGAATGTCTTTTGTTAAGATTCCTGGGAAACAATTTTGCCTACGTGTCACTAGATATCATGCATTTTCCCACGTGCAACTGGAGGAACTTATAAGACTATCTCCATCAGGAGTCGAAATTTTAACCTCTCTCTCCTGCCACATCATTTTATTCCCCCTCCATATAATTCAACAATCTCCATTTTCTATCATCTCTACAGCAGGAGTTTTTTCAAAAGATTTTTACTTTATTTGGGACCCACTATAACCCCATCACTCCAACATATATACCCCACCTTATTTATTCATTTCTTTTTCTTATTTCATATATATTACTACTACTACTATTATTATTACTAATATAACTCATTTATTTATAATTATAATTTTTTAATATTTACATAAATAATATATTATTAATTTAATTTTTGATAATATTTTTATATTAACAAAAAAACACACGATTTTATTAAGCATACGGAAAAGTCAAACACACACAAATTATTGAAAACATTAAAGAAAACACACATTAAATTGGTAAATCTAATCAGAGGTTGTTCCAAATTTCTGCCAAATGTGCTCGATGAGATCCTTTTTCAACTGAATATGTTGGCTCCTATCTCGTAGTTCGGCTCTAGTATGATTATCCGATCCGGATCGGTCTCGAACATGGACTTGAAACTCAGGCAATACGTCTGTTTGAACACTGGAAGAGGCGGAAGAGCTAGGATTGTTTGACGGTTCAAAGTCGATATTTTCCCAGTTTCGCGAATACGAATCTCGTTCATCTTCCACTATCATGTTATGTAAAATAATGCACGCCCTCATTATTTCATCTTCCACTATCATGTTTGAAGAATATAGAAGCAAAAGCAAAGAGAAGGAGAATAAGGTGTTGAAAACTCAGATTTTTTTTTGTCTCCAAATTACACAAGACTAATCTCTATTTATAGAGGTGAAAAAATAAAAATTATTGATATAAAAATTATAAATTAATTCCTAGTATTTATCTCCCAAAATATCATTTAAAAGTTAGGAGTAAAACAAAAAAACCCAACCAATCAAGCCTTGACACATGGCTCTCTTTAATTGTTGATTTAATGTTGCGGGACCCACTCGGAGTGCCGTCCATTAACAGTGAAGTTTACCCTTGGAGCTTCACCAGACTCAATGTCATCAAAAACGGGTGACCTATCTAGTACATTTATGTCGTTCAAACTACCAGGAAGCCCAAAAAAAGCATGCCATATCCACAAATCATATGACGCAAGGCTATTACCCCTTCGCAAAACCTCTGAGTACACTCAACCGCAGTAGATTCTCCTATCTTCACGTACTCATCACAAGCATCAGCTGCTACTATCGTAACTTGAATTATGTTGTCTTCTGTGCTCCAACTATCGTAACTTGATCTCTTTGTTGGTTGTTGGGTTGGAGGTAGAAAACTATGAGGAGTATCCCCACCAACATTTCCCAAAGAGATCTGGGTGGAAAACTCCGGGATTTCTGTAGATCCGCTACTGAACCGGGGTGTCGGTGGCTCAATCGACTCCGTGGTAGGGAAATTCATATGGGATGGAACATAGCTGCTTCCCGCAGCTGGATGATAACCGTAAGGAAGATAAGGGTATTGCATGCCAAAATTTGGTGGCATCATATACGGCATTTGAAAATTGGGTTGCATACCAGCATTTTGAGTAATTTCCGGGGCTTGCATATTTGGATTTTGAGGGTTGGTATTTTGAGGCTGGTTAGGAAAGTTGTAGGAGAAATTAGAATAATTTTGTGAAGGATCCATTTGAAAAAGTTTGAAGAATATAGAAGCAAAAGCAAAGAGAAGGAGAATAAGGTGTTGAAAACTCAGATTTTTTTTGGTGTCCAAATTACACAAGACTAATCTCTATTTATAGAGGTGAAAAAATAAAAATTATTGATATAAAAATTATAAATTAATTCCTAGTATTTATCTCCCAAAATATCATTTAAAAATTAGGAATAAAACAAAAAAGGCCAACCAACCAAGCCTTGACACATGGCTCCAAGCATGGGCTAAGGACAATTCGCGGGACCCATGAGGTTAGAAAAACCGGAGGTGAAAAATTCACCCATCCGATTTCGGTTTTAGGTTGTTTTTCTCAATTCATGCCTTTCTCTATTGCACGAAGCTTGTCAATGCGACTGTGCATTGCCTTGTTTAATTACAGAGAGTGTCAATTCATTGCCTTGTCTTATTAATTTGCATACGAGTGGTCAATTCAAACCCTTCGTCTTATAATGTGCAGGGAGTTGCAATTCATACCAGAGACGTTGTCAATTCATAACATATTTTTTAACTGTTATTGCAGAGACTTGCTGTCAATTCAATTGGCAGACGGAGTAAGTCATTTCATTGGATTATATCAATAAAAAACAACGATTTTATTCAACCACTCCAATTTCAACACACGAAACACTTAAAAAAACACTTAAAAACACATAAACAAAACTAACAGACAAACAACAACTTTTCATTTGCCAAACAGTTCTTTCTCAACAACTGATATGCTTCTTCATCTTATCTGTCACGATTGGTTTGTTTTTCAAAAATCTCCACGTCTCCAAATGTTGTTGGACCGAGCGAGGGGACATTTTTCATAGCTCTTCAACATGTACTTGCTTATTCGCTTCCGCCTTTTCACGAGAGGCTTGCACTATATTGGATAATCTCATTCGAGAAGTTCGACCTTCGATTCCTTGGCTTTACTGTGACGAAGCTCTAGCTTTCTTCTTTGTCGTGTCCCTACCCTCAGACGTACGAGGGTAGGAGCGGGGATTCAACTATCTTCACCAGCATACTCTTCTTTTCGAACCGCTACTACCCGAATACTGTGTACTCCTGGCATAATATTTTTGGTTGATTGCGAACAACCTTCCACTCACCACTAAATTAAACGACCCTGTACCCATTTTCTCAAAGTCAACTCCTGCCTTGCGATATGTAGCTTTTCATCAGCCAAACCCTCTTGATCTCTCCCTACATTGCCAGTACTGTAACAGCTAATGAAACTTGCCAAATTTTTCTGTTTGATGTCTTTGTAATGACTCTGGCCACGAGCTATGCCGTCCTCTCTTTTCCACTCTTGCCTTCTCATTCACGATACTGTTGTACTTTTACCCCAACAGTTTCACCTTTTTGGTTGTGTTCCCAGCCCCTACCGTATCATTACTAGCGTGAACATAAGCAGTTAGCACTGGCCTGGGAGCCGGACTTGGCCCCGGGTTTCCGGGCCGAGGCCGGGCCCGGACCCGGCCGGGCGAGGTCGGGCCGGCCGGCTTTTTGGACACAACCCTACAGAGAATCTGATAAGTTTAAATAAGTTAACGGTTCCAGGCAAATGATTGCTTCTGTATTAAATAAAATACTTGTATTATTTAAATAACATAACTGCTGTTAAAAATTTCATTTTTGAATTTTCTAATAACTTTTCCTTAATTTAAGTTTTTTATATTATTGATTGTTATTTTGAATTTAGTGACGCGTAACAGTTCTTTCTCATCGCCAAAATTGAATGTCTTTGTTAAGATTTCGCGCTGGAATACAATTTTGCCTACGTGTCACTAGATATCATGCATTTTCCCACAGTGCAAACTGAGGACTTTATAAGACTATCTCCATTCAGGAGTCGAAATTTAAACGTCTCTCTGCTCCTGCCACACGGTCATTTTATTTCTCGCGTTAGTCACATCATGATGAATTCAACTATCTCCATTTCTAGTCGATAGCGTCTGACAGCAGGTGTTTTTTCAAAGATTTTTACCTTTATTGTGGGACCCAGCTATAGACGCCATCACTCCAACATATATACCCACCGTTAAAAATGTTTTTCATTTCTTATTGTTCGATTATTGTGCATATATGATTGACATCAGCTAGTACTGATGATTATTATTATGAAATGGATGACATTTATTTAATAATTTAGTATTTTGTTAATATTTTCATAAATAATATATTATTGGATTGGATTTTTGATAATATTTTATATTAAAAAAAACACACGATTTTATTAAGCATACGGAAGCACACACACGAAATTTTGAGAACATAATAGACACACATTAAGATTGGTAGAAATCGCTATCAGGAGGGTGTGTTTTCCAAATTCGTCCAAATTGTCGTCGAGTGAGATCCGTTTTGGCAACCTGAAATATGTTGCGTCCGTATCGTCGTAGGTGTCCCTCTAGTATGATGTACGCGATCCGGATACCGGTCTCGAAGCATGGACTGTGAAACTCAGGCATGACGTCATGTTTTGGATGGACACTGGAAGAGGGAAAGAAGCTAGATGTGTTTGAACGGTTCAAAGTCGATATTTTACCCCAATTTCGGCGAATACGAATCTCGTTCAGTGCTTCCATATAGATGGTTATTAAAATAATGGCGCCCTCTCATTATTTTAGACGTAAGACTGTCAATATGCCACGTCCAGAGCTGGTTGGACGAGCAAATAGCAGAACCGTGCTTGGAGAATCCCCGAATGCGCGCTCCACGTCCTTCCTGCATGACTCCTTTGGTTTGGCAAAACATTGTTGTTTGTGGATGCCCGGGGCATTTGTGAATTGACTGGGACGAAGACTAACTATCTTGGAGGTAGCATTCGCTCAGCAAGATAGTATGCAATATGATAGCTCGCGTCCATTAACAGTTGAGTTTTACCTTGGAGCTTCACCAAGTACTGCAATGTCATCCAAAACGGGTGACCGTTCTAGTACAGTTATGTCGTTCAAAGCTACCGAGGAAGGACCAAAAAAAAGCATGCCATAATCCACAAATCTTATGACGCAAGTGCCTCGAGAATAACTGTTGCCTTGTGCCCTTGTGTCCACTAGTTAAACTGCGCATCATGCCATCTTTGGACAATTTTTTTCACTGCCATGCATTGCAATCGATAAACGTTTCCAATCATCCGCTGGGAACACGCACCTCTTGTCCAAGCTTGGAATAACCTCTGCAAGTCTTGGCACATTGCGTTCGCTCTTAAGTATTCATCTTGAAACAAGGCTAGTTACCGGCCTTCGTCAAAACCTCTGAGTAGCACTCAACCGCAATAGATTCTCCTATCTGTCACGTACTCATCACAAGCATCAGCTGCCTGGCTACTCCATATGCAGGCTGCGTAGGGCCAGCAGCTTACACAATTGGATGAGGGGTTAAACCAAGCTTGGGCCCAGTATTATTATGACTGTTGTGTGAAGTAAACGTCGAAAAATGTTGACATAGAATCCACAATTCGTAGGAAAGAGAGGGCCTATTCATTCGATACCTTCGTCGAAATGGGCATCAGTGGTATGGTGCATGATTCGGCAAAGTAGTCCGGCCATGAGCCTCTCATGCGCTGCATGATGGATCTCTATATATGACTGTTCCTCTTGCGCGCGTTGTTCTTCTTCCTAAGCAACTCTTCAAGCAGTTGCTTGTTGCCTATCAAAGCATTTTATCTTCCTAACTCCCATTTCTTTGTTGGAATATTCGGGATTGAATTCATTTAGCGTTTGGCATCCATTGGAAGGGTATGTAGAGAAAAATGTTGATAGGTATACTCCAAGTTGTGCATATTGCGTCAGCATTTACTAAATGTAAAACCTTTGTTCAAGAAAACATGCAATTGCAACGACATGTCGGCGTATGGATGCATTGCAGGGATGTTGTCAATTCAGTGCCTGTGTCTTTAATTGCCAGAGACTTGTCAATTTCATGCCTTGTCTTGTAATTATCAGAGGAAGTTTGTCAAAATTGCCATGCGCCTTAACCCTTCGTCTTTAATTGCAGGGAGTTGTCAATTCATACCAGAGAGTTGTCAATTCATACATTTTTTAACTTTAATTGCAGAGACTTGTCAATTCAATTGGAGAGGGAGTAGTCATTTCAATTGGATTTATTCAAATAAAAAACAACGATTTTATTCAACACTCCAATTTCAACACACAAAACACTTAAAAAAACACTTAAAAACACATAAACAAACTAACAGACAAACAACAACTTCTTCATTTGCCAAACAGTTCTTTCCTCAACAACTGATATGCTTCTTCATCTTCATCGTCACGATCTGGTTTGTTTTTCAAAAATCTCCACGTCTCCATATTCTTGGCACGAGCGAGGACATTCATAGCTTCAACAGTACTTGCTCTATTCGCTTCCGCCTTTTCACGAGAGGTGACTATATTGGATAACTCATCGAGAAGTTCGACCTTCGATTTCCTTGGTTTACTGGACGAAGCTCTAGCTTTCTTCTTTGTCGTGTCCCTACCCTCAGGACGTACGAGGGTAGGAGCGGATGATTCAACATCTTCACTACTACTCTTTCTTTTCGAACCGCTACTACCCGATACTGCTACTCCTGGCATATATTTTGGTTGATTGCGAACAACCTTCCACTCATCCACCAAATTAAACGATGTACCCATTTTCTCAAAGTACAACTCCCTGCCTTTGGATATGTAGTTTTCATCAGACCAACCACTTTGCTTCTCCCTACATGCAGTACTGTAACAGCCAATGAAACTGGAAATTTTTCTGTTGATGTCTTTGTAATGACTCTGGCACCGAGCTATGGTCCTCTCTTTTCCACTTCCACTCTTGCCATTCTCATTCACATACTGTGTAATTTTACCCCAGAAAGTTTCACCTTTTTGGTTGTTCCCCAGCTCACTATCATTACTAGCGTGAAAATAAGCAGTTAGCAGAATTATGTTGTCTTCTGTGCTCCAACTATCGTAACTTGATCTCTTCGTTGGTTGTTGGGTTGGAGGTAGACCACTATGAGGAGTATCCCCACCAACATTTCCCAAAGAGATCTGCTCCAACATATATACCCCACCTTATTTATTCATTTCTTTTTCTTATTTCATATATATTACTACTACTACTATTATTATTACTGAACCGGGGTGTCGGTGGCTCAATCGACTCCGTGGTAGGGAAATTCATATGGGATGGAACATAGCTGCTTCCCGCAGCTGGATGATAACCGTAAGGAAGATAAGGGTATTGCATGCCAAAATTTGGTGGCATCATATACGGCATTTGAAAATTGGGTTGCATACCAGCATTTTGAGTATTTTTCGGGGCTTGCATATTTGGATTTTGAGGGTTGGTATTTTGAGGCTGGTTAGGAAAGTTGTAGGAGAAATTAAGATAATTTTGTGAAGGATCCATTTGAAAAAGTTTGAAGAATATAGAAGCAAAAGCAAAGAGAAGGAGAATAAGGTGTTGAAAACTCAGATTTTTTTTGGTCTCCAAATTACACAAGACTAATCTCTATTTATAGAGGTGAAAAAATAAAAATTATTGATATAAAAATTATAAATTAATTCCTAGTATTTATCTCCCAAAATATCATTTAAAAGTTAGGAGTAAAACAAAAAAACCCAACCAATCAAGCCTTGACACATGGCTTAATACAATTGTTGATCTACTATTGCGGGACCCACATGGAGAGAAAAACCGGAGGTGAAAATTTCACCCCTTGGGCTCCGGTTTTGCATTTCACCACCTTAAAAGCTACCCGCTGGAGCAAAAAACCCCCCCAAATATCTCCTGTTGGAGATAGTCTAAGCAGTAGATAACACACGTGGACAGTCAATCTAAGGGGCTGTTTGGTTGGTTTCCTAAAAACCAAAAAAAGGAAATCGGTACAATGAAATCAATAAAATAACATTTTTGTCCATTTCCATCCCTAAAACTCACCCACAACATCTAATAAAATATTATTTTTATCCTTCAACTCATCTCATTTCATCTCCTTTCTTACCTTTAAAAATAAACCAAACACAAGAAATGTGTCACATCATCCAACTCATTACATCTCATCTTATCCCATTTTTAAAAATCACACACAACATCCAATAATATTGTGACAACTCATCTCATCTCATTAAACCTTCATTTCCATCCATTTCCTAAAAAAAACAAGAAATTAATTTTCTTAAGTATGTGTCACATCATCCAATAATATACCTCCAACTCATCTCATCTCATCTATTTTTTTATTTTTAAAAATGAACCAAACACAAACAACCTCAAAACATCATCCAATTATATACCTCCAATTCATTTCCTTATTTTTTTAACCAACCAAACAACCTCAAAACAAGTTTTTTTTAAAAAATCACTCATATCATCCAATAATAAGGTGACAAATCCCCTCATCTCATCTCCTATTCTATAATTTCATTCTTTTTTAACCCAACCAAACAACCTCAACAATTATTATAGGAAATAGGTTTCCTATTTTTTAATTTCCAAGTTTTTTTTTCCGAAACGAACGGACCCTGAAAAACTTGGTGTTTTTGTTGTTTCCATGGTGTTTTTGTCAAAAATAAAACTCCATGCGTTTGGAAATCATGGTGTTTTTTGAGCTAAATCATCCTCAAACCAAAAACACCACTTATTTCAAAACACATTTTAGGTGTTTTAAGTTTGGTGCTTTGGTTTTTGAGTTTGAGAAGATGTTAATATAATATCTAACATAATATAATATGTTAGATATTATACTATACTATATTATAGTTAATTTAATATATTAGTAATATTTATTAAATATTATAAAATATAATAAATAAAATATCTTATATAATAATATAATAACATATTAAATACTAATATTTAATATGTTAATGATGTATTATATAATAAATAAATAATAATAAAATATAAATAACCTAAAAAAAAATAATAAAAAAGTTATTGATAATAAAAAATAATAAATAATAATATAATAATAATACAATAATATACTATACAATAGTATAATTACTATAATATTATTAACTTTTTAATAAATAAATTATAATAAATTAATAATTATAAAATATTATATAGTAGTAACATATTTAATAATAACATAACAATATAATAATATTATTATAATAACATATTGTGTAGTTAATTATATATTAATATATAAAATATTAAATATTATGTAATAAATAATATAATTTATTATAAAGTAAAATAATTTGTAATAATATAATAATTTATTGCTAACAAATGTTAATGTAAAATAATATATTCATAATATAATAATATTTATTAATATCATAAATACTAATATATTATTAAAGTACTATTAATAACTGTAACATATTAAAAACTATAATATGTTATATAATATTAAAATATTAATAATATATTAATTTATTAATAACATACTAGTAATATCATAATATTAATATTATTAATAATATTATATTATATGAATAATAGTATAATATTATATTAATAATAAAATAATATTATTATAAAAATATTAATATAATATACAACAATAACAAATTGATAAACCAAAATAATTAAATATATAATTATATAAAAATAATATATAATAATCATAATATAATATAACTCATTAAAATATAATATAATATTATAATACATTATACAATATTATATTACATTACATTTAATACTTATAATACTATAATAATATAAACAAAATATTATAACATTTTATTTACAATATATTTTATTATAATTAATATATAATATATTAATAATATGTTTAATACTAATGTTATAATGGGTTAAATTAGTGTTAACCAAAAATACTTAACATGATGTTTTGAAAACATTTTAAAGAAAAAACACAACACCATAGTGTTTTTTTTATAAAAACACAACAAGGAAAACACCATGATATTCAAACGAAGCCTTACATGTTAGGGTCCCAGTTTGTAAGAAAATTTTCATGTAGATCTCTTTGAGATCTAACGAAAAAATCGCCCCAATCATGTACCACACGTGTCCCTCCCACTCATAGAGATTAGTCGAGGGTGGTGGTTATAAGGGTAAAAGTACCATAATTAATTAGTGAACAGAGCCAAAAGGGCATTTACGGCAATCCAACTCCCAAAATTACTGTTTGGGAGTGGATATAGCAAACATGAACATATGTCACACTTGTTTATTTGTGCGCGCGACATTGGTGTTTTTGGGGAAAAAACTTCTTTGTATTATATTTGGTCTTCTATAGCTCGTCTATTTTAATTATTACTAGATTAGATGCACCTGTAATGCACGTGGTTAAATATCATAATTATTTAATTAATAAAAATAAAATAAAAATAAAAAGAAAATAAAATTTTTTGTAGGATTGATCATCAACTCAATAATCTCTCTCTCAACTGAAATATTATCATTATTTCCTTCAACTTAAACTGTGGCCACGTGATCTACTATTTGTGAGTTAAAAACGCATTAATCTACTACAACATCTTTGTTTATTAGTATCTTGAAGTCTTCAAAAGATGGGAGATCATTCAATTCGTAAATAAATTTTTATATGAATTTACTTGCAATATGTCTATTAAACTAGTTATGGTTTGACTCATATTCACATTAACTTTTAGTAATGGTTTCACTTATATTTACATTATCTAATATTCTCATTCAAATTTATAGCTTATTTTCTGTATCATAGAAGTAAAACTAAAAGTATGAAGAATTATTTTCTTGTGAAATTAGAGTAGGGAGATTATGATATATTTTGTCAGTGCTCTAAATATAAAAATTTTGTTTTCCTTTGATGCAAGATCCCTATCAAATCTTACCCTAAATGATATGAATAAAAAAAAATTCTATTATAACTCACTTACCTAGAGCAATTGTATTGTATATAGAACATATAACTCATCTGCAATATACACATCTGTTAAGTGGATTTTGTTATTGTGAAAGCAACATGATAGAGGCTCGTATTCTAACTTTTTGACTCTATAAAAGGCGTAAGAATTTGGAGTGCATAGCTAATATGTCAAAAAGAACATATTGGTTCATGAAGAATTTTCCCTAATAACGATATTATTACAATGATATTACTATTTAGTATTAAATAAATTTTATTATATAAGATTATATGATCCTTTTTAATAAATTATAAAGTATATATATTAAAGTCTCAATGCTTATAGCCAATAGTTAAGCTCCATAAAATATGTTAAGTTTACATTGTAGTTTGCTATTTATAGTACTGTTGACAATATCATTACCTTTTCTTTTTATCTTATTATTCACGCTTTTCTGATGTAAGTTCTCTTTACTAATCACTCAATTAGCCATATTTAGTTTTTTTATAATATCAGAGGTTAGAATGTTCTCTTCTGTTTAAAAAGTGTTGACATGATTTTCTTAAAAAAATATATACATAGTAGCAATAGTATATAATTCAATTCAATACAAACATTGGCTTGAAGTCATTTAAGGTGAGGTACTTTCTACGCTAGAATGATGATGTAGTGAATACACAATCCAAAAGTCAAAGAAGAAATTTCTACAAAGGAAAAATAATTTAATATGTCAAATTAATAACTAATTTATAAAATACATATGGGTGGTGCAAATAGCTATATAAAGTAAGGTAAATATCTTCATGAAAATTGCATAGTGAGTGACCAACAACTACAATCATCCTAATTTAAGCATAAATAATTATTATTTTAGTTACTAATTTGATACACATAACTATGGAATAAAATCTCAAGTAAAAAATAGGAATTGAAATTGTATTAAATATAAAACTAATAATTTAAATTATTAAGCGCCAAATATTAGTTCATGTGAGAAAGTAAAGTAATCTATAGTCTATATACCTATATAGTCAAGCAATCAAACATATTATAATTATGATGACTACAGTCAAAATTATATGGTAGATTCACATTAAATATAATTTATAAAAAATAGTACATTAGAGTAAAAGTCCTTTTAACCACTATATAGATTGTCTGAAAATTTTTGCTTATATAAATTACACTACTTAGGAACAATGATATGTTGTACAATTAACTATGACCTAATAATCTTAAGAACG